GCGAACAGCAGGAGGATTAACTCGATGATCATCTGCCTCTGGGAGATGTGGTCTTCTAGAATTTGAGGCTGCTCACACAGTGGGTTCTTTTCTCTCTCCTGACGTGACCCTACTGAAAAGCCATAGATGGGCTCCTATGTGGAGAGCCCAGCTGGGAAGTCGCTGCCTCTCAGAAGCAGATGCCCCCAGACACCTGTGGACACCATTTGGCCTGGCAGAGCAGGGAGGTGGCAGCCTCCAGGCACTCCCTCTCTCCAGGGAGCAGCGATGGAGGAACCAGCGTCCAGCCCCTGGGGAAGGGGCATGAGTACCTCCCCATCCTCCCTGCTTCTCGTTACTCTTCCTGGATGCTCACTTTGAAGACAGAGGCTGAAAATGCCTCTCTGTCCTAACAGGAAAGGGGAGAAAAACCCCGGGTGGCTGACTAACGACCAAAAGGAAGAGTTTTATTTCAAGTTAGTGGGTTAAAAGGTAAATGCTCAAAGGGCTCTTGGCGCCTGTGGCAGCCCTGGACTGGGAGCCCAGAGACCGGGCAGATGCTCCCTCTCCGCGCCAGGCGCATCTGTCAACTAGAGGCTTGGGTTCCCGACCCTCTGATTAGTCCAGACCATTTGTGCTTTTACAAAATAACAGTAGATGTTTTGAAAGCGTATCAGCCCAGCTCTCCACAACCTGCCAGGGAGACTTTACAAAGTAAGAAGACACAAGAGGAAGCCCCACCTGCCTCAAGAACCACTGAAAATACAGTGTGACTAGGGCTGGCTTCATGGGTGTGTCACCTGTGCAGTCACACTGGACCCTGTGCTTAGAAGAGCCTGCATTTGGTTTAATTCTCTGCTGTCATCACCTCGAAATTCTTAATAATTTTGGACAAGGAGCCTCACATTTCCGTTTTGCACTCAGCTCACAAATTATGTAGCAGGTCCTGAGTGTGATTATGGGAGGGTCAGAGCATCCTGTTTCCATGTTCAATCCACATACCCATTCATTCCCCCAGTGCACACGCAAACGCAAACACACACACACACACACACACACACCACAAAATAGCTTCTTTATCCTCCGTTTCAACGGTTCTTTACATCTGAAATCCCACAAGTCAAAGTCTCCAAGTAGAGACTCTGTTCTCTAACCCAAGTAGCGGGGACCTGACTTCTAGAACCTTTGCTGGAGAGAGGGCGCCTCCTCCAGCCAGCCTGCCCCGAGGTCCGCCCAGCGATGGGGACACTTCTGACTTACACTTGAGGTCCCTGGAGGGCTGAATCTCAGGGGCTTTCACCAAAGCAGATGCAGAAAAGGCAGGAAGGCTGAAGACCCCGTACCCCCCAACCGCAGCAGGAGGGAAAGGGAAAGTGTCCCTAGGTACCCCAGGAGCGCTGGGTTCGAGTCCACGCCCGCCGCTAACTTCCTTCCATCTCCTGCCTTTACTCCCAGACCCAGCAAGTTTGTTCTGATTTTTACAAGAGCAACGTCCTGGAGCTGCAGTAGGTGGCGCCAGTACGCTGGGATCCGCCAGTGGGACCGGCAAATTTCCGACAGGAGATCGCCCCCTAGCGGTGACAGTGGGTAGAGAGGCGGCTACTTGCTCCTCAACCAGACGGGGCAAAGCCACAACTCCCCTTTCTCTGGTACCTGTTATTGCCCTCTTTGTCACAGGCCCCCATTCTGCTTCAATACAGAAACAAGAGGAAATAGGGGTTTGAGCATAAGAGGAGAAGTGCAGAGGAACGGAGTTTTAGAAACACAGCCGCACAGGAATGTTATTCTTTTAAATGAAAAAAGTACAAAACCAGGGCTCCTAGAAGAAAAAAATATGCATTCCTATCACTGCGTAAAAAGAAACCCTGGCTACTGGTTAAGTTTCAGTAAATATCAGAGAAACGCTCAGTTTTTTCAAGGCTGATCCATTAAGCCCACTTCTGAACACAGTTTTATCTGGTGGGCTCTGAACGCTAAAATATTCACACTGTTCAGATGATATTAACAATATAGGCTGGTATAGAAAGTAGAACAGAATCCTATTAAAACGAACTCACAAAACACCCTGACATACAGTAGGGAGGGGCAAATTTACCCCGAAATACCACAACCACACATAGCGTTGAAAAAATTATTATGTGGGTGTTATCTGGTTCCCCAAGGCTGGATTAAAGAGGGTTCCTTTTAATGGAGGAGCTGATTGAATCTGCATGTCACTGAAATAATTATTTGGAGGTGGAGATGAATTTTTACAAGCATTGGATGTTATTTCAATGACTTAAAATTAGATCTATGATTAGGCCGTGAAAGCCACAAAGGCAGGCCCCTCGCCACTGCCTCCCAGGCCCTAGGACAGAGGCCTGACCTGGGACGGGGACTCCCTGAATGTGAACAATGCACGATTAGCATTACTGACTATGTTACTGAGAGACCAAAACCCAGAGATAAGACTTGACAACGTTGCATCTGGGTTTTCACGCTCCCAAGATAGAGAGCTGTTAGATGCTTCCTGTCTTTCATGTGGAATAAGTTTTCCATGCTTATCAGGAATAGATTCTGGCTCCTAAAGATATCAGGTTATGTACCTTAGTCCACCCTGATGACCTACAAACATATCTTGGATCTGATACAGTGCAGGGTGAGGAAACAGAAGTTCTAGAATTTTCTTTTCCTCTAGCTCAAACAAACGGCTGCTTTCCAATAAACAATAAACATGCCAACTATATTTACACAATACTAAGCGGCCCCACAGAACATGGCTCAGGGCAGCTGCCAGGTGAGTTCTGAGCTCTGGCAGCTGCCCCCAGCCATTCTCGGCAGTAAGGGGAACGCTCACAGGCATTTCAACACCCCAAGGTGCAGCGAGAAGGGGGTGTTGGTTTCACCAAATACCTCTTAGGGTGGCTCAGACCACAGCATCCGTCCGAGGGCTTTACCACATCACTAGTTTCTGGCGCTACCTACCGACCATGCTTCTGCCTGGTAGGAGAAAAGGCTCCTAATTCTGAAAGCAAAAACAAGAACATCCAGGCTCGTCTGTATTCATCGCCTCACTTTCTGGCACAGGAGGCTCTAAACGCGTAAAGCAAGTGCCTCTGGAGCAAGCAGACCCAGTGCTAACCTCACACTCACCTCAAGTCTGGAATGATCCTGTTACCCTAAAGTACGCAGGTGTCTGTTTCAAAGTGCTAGTGTCTGCTGTAAAGCTCGTCTCCAACCCCAAAAGACAAAGGAGTCAAATGAAAAATAAAATAAAGTAAAATAAAAAAATGAAATAAAATAAATCTTACCCACTGTTTCCAATGGAAATTCTTAAAATTGTTATATACACAAAACAAATTTTCTTCTTATGAATCCTGAAGGCCCAACCAAGCAGAAAAAACTATTTGGAGTAGAGAGAGAGAAGGCTTTTTCTCCTTGTACAAAGTATTGGTAAACTCTAAAATATACTCCAAGATCTCCACTTTTCAAATAAAACCAGAAGCACCCCATCCATTTCTCTCTTCTCCAGCCCCATCGGGTTCTAGAATGCCCCTGTTCGGTATGGTCGGTGGCTTATGCTTGCACCAGCCAGCTCCTGGAGAGATAGCCGACCTGGCCGGCCTTGGATGGCAGACCTGCAATCATCCTTCTCCAGTGGTTCTTGACCTCACTCCCACCCCGGAGGACACCTGGGTACCAGGTCACCAAGACAGTGCAAGTGGCCAATTTACCCATTTTCTGATAGGATATTTTTCCCAATTAAATTCAGTGCTACTCAACCAGATGAAACCAGACTGCCATCTGTAGGTCATGCTTAAGTTGTTCAAAAAGCAAAGAAAAAAAATATGTTCCTTTTAAAATTAATGTTCTCTGGGAGCATCGCTCTCTCCTCTGCCATCACAGGACAGGGACATGTTACCCGAGCAGTCAAACAAAGACTCCTGGCTCCCGTTTCTCAAGCATCCCTGACGACCCTAGTCTAGAAAGGTCCTTCTTTCTGTGTCAGGCCAGCCCTGGATCTGAATGAAGCACATCCTTCAGGCCCTCGTGGTCACAGCAGACCTGCTTCCAGGAGATGATGCTGCCTACCTGCCTGCCAGGAGAGACAATATCAGCCAGAGAAACCCTGCCCCAGGGTGACTGGGATATGGATTGTCCCTTCAGGAGAGTCTACGAAGAAGCCACAGCCCAAGTGCTCCTGTCCACAGAGCACAGCCCTGTAAGCAGAAGAGCCCTTTGTTGGGCTAGAGGAGGGCAAGGGGGCTCAGAGAAGAGAGAAGCTTGCCGGGGTGTCTAGAGGGCTGGGATCAGAATGCCAGGATGCCATGGCCTAGAGAAATTCTGTGTTTAGAAAGCGCAGAGCTAGAAGACAGATTGGCAAGGGACATTTGATCCGTATGAAATTTAGCCCAGGTAGCCAAAAAGTGAAAGACTTGAAGAATTTGAGACTGCATGCATTTCCCACATTCCTCTATCCCCCGACATGACCCATGAGTCACAGCTGGATCTGAGGGCCAGTCTAACTCATCCATAAGTACAACTGGTCACATTACAAATTACACCACTGAGTACGAGGACACTAATCCAGAACTCGCTACCCTGGAGGAACATCTCAGGGATGCTCAGTATAGTCATTTGGGAAAAAAGACTCACATATTGCTTTTTCATGCTATGTTAATTCCAATAATGGGACTCTGTGAGTGGGTCACCTGGTGGACCTAAAAGGGCTACAAGATTGTTTGTCATTGTGCACACCACATCCTACCTACAGGAACAGTGATGCCCAACATTAACACGCAAAGAAAGTCAATGAAGAAAAGGGAGAACAGAAAGAAAGGTATTGGAATGGTGACCCAATACTACCCCATTTACACATTTAATACTTTTTTTTCTACCATACTAACATGTCCTTCACAAATACACTGAACAAACTATATTGGTTATAGAAATAGGAAAGCATGAGTTGTAAGTCTATTTATAGATTTAATTTAAAACAGTTTCTTAACAACATCAAAAAAATATAAACTTAAAGAATTTGAACTATGTTTTCTGCTGGGAAGTGGTGAACAAACGCATGCCAGAAGTTAAACTTGGTCTATACCATGTTCAGTTGAAAGTTTCTAACTAAAGGGTATTATCTGCTTGTTTCAAAAAATACTTATGTCTGTTGTTCTTGATACAAAATTCTACACTATCTTCAATAAATAAATAATAAAGTGTTTCTTAAAAGTATGAAATGTAAACTTTGTTGCCCTTCCCAACACACATTTTAAAAATTGCTTGAAATATGACAGGGCTTTTATGGGAAATTATGACACTATGCATTCAGTTCCCAGCAAGGCGGGTACACTGCTACTATGTTGATGCTATCGTTTATAAAGCACTTCTACAACCCTAATTAAATTCTAAGGACCTACAATCAAAGAGAACACCGTCTAACACAGGAAAGCTAGACTCCAGTACCAAGAGAACATGCAAAGAACATCTCGTGACCACAACAAACTGGGATTATGAGAACATTGACATGCGAGCAGAATACGACCCATACTTTTCCTTAGCAAATCAAGTTATTAACTAGTTAACCAGCCTATCTCCTGGCATGTAAGGGAAAAAAATCAAAGAATTCAAACCAAACAGCTTGGCATGTGGTCATACGCTCCTGACTCTGGCAATAAGCTCGTGTATTTTCATCACTGAGAGGTTGGTGGTGTGTGGTAGAGCACAGGAAACAGTCTTAGGTCTTCCTCCCCGGACTGTGGGGCTTGCATGCTCCTAGGGTCTTCCCCCCACCACATAATGGATTTCCTTCACATCTTTCCACCCCACTTCCAGATTGTCACTTTTCCTTTCCACGCCTTGGGGATGCCTTTTTTGGGAACATACCCAAACAGCTGCTGAAATTTCCCATGACAGTGAGGATCCAGCATATTCAAGCGAGAATAGGCTCAGAGCTGGTCACCAGCAACTACTCTTGTGATGAAACATCACAGGACCTCCAAGCCAAGAGAGAATTTCCCAACTGGGCTGGCAACCCAGATCCAATGACGTCATAAAGTAGCCTTTCAAGTGACCTGCGGTGATCGAATCCAGCAGAGGATAACTTTGTAGATAACAAGCTTCCTTAACTATCTTCCAAGCATGCTGGAAATTGGAATCGACTCGCCTTATAGTAGCCAGTGATAGTTCTCATTGACGTCTATCAATAAAAGACCTGGAGGGCACTGGAATGGCTCTAACAACGCACCTGCTGGAATCTTCCATGGACCAGCTCTTCAAAGAGCTAGCCCAGTGTCTGATCAGAAGACCATCTCCCCAAGTGATCAGATCTAGGGCAACATCTCAAATAAGGTCCCCGTGGGGGAATGAGATTCTGAAGCAATGACAGGACCATCATAATTATTTCTAAACACACCAAGGACTAGGCATCTATGTCAAGGGGCCTACTTGGGGGCTGGCGGAGGTAAGAAGGAAGAGGGTTACATAGGTTCTCCAAAAATACAGACATTGCCTTTATAAATCTATTTTACAGTAACCAGACCCATGCCTCAGGCCCAGGGATGGGCCCAGACTCCCAACAGAACCTCACTGGGGGCTATGAGATTTCAAAGACCCTAGAAGGCATGATGAGACCTGCAGTGAGGACGAAGGAAAACACAGTTTTGTTTCATAAAATGGGAATTGTTTGGGGGGAAGGATTGTCGAGAATTATTCCTAGAAGCTTTCAGGGGCCTGTCTTTGTTGTCCCATTGCCCTGTGGCTGAACACCCAGTGGTGGTCTTAGAAAACAACACCATTTCCAGACAGCATCCGCTGCCTCGGGCTGGAACTCTGCCATGCACGCCCTGGGCCAGCTCCCTATGGCTCATCAAACAACTGCAGGTCCAAGCGGACCACAATCTCTCCAGTGGGAACTTCATGCAGCAGGAGACACTTTGTAACTGGACCCTTGGAACCTTGGTCCTTCTTGATGTCAGCCACTCGGATCTCCGTTCGACCCAAAAAATCTGAAAGGAGAACAGACACTAACTCAGAGAGCGAATTCCTTCTCTTCGAGGCATGTATGTGACCTGTTGGGAACTTCCCACCGAATTGTTACACTCTCCCTTCTTCCAAAAGGGAGTTAGGTCAGTTTGCAGGAATCCATGAGCTATAATGACAGAGCATAAATTTTAAGTGGAGTGAAAAGAAAAGGACAAATTGGGGGGGGGGTGGACAAAGGAGAGTCTAGAGGAGCTAAAAACACAGAGCACGACTTTCCCCACCCCTGGGGACCTCCAAAGGGCTAAAGCTCCCTGGGGGGTGATGCAAAACCAGATGTCGTCTCCACTGCACAATTTGCAATGAACGTGAAATGTAAAGAAATCACCCAGAAGTACAATTATTTCTGGGACAAAAATTAGACAGTAATTTCTCCCAGGGGTTGTCACAGGAGCACACTTCGTGATGTCACACCCCTTTCAGAAAAGTCAAAGTGAGTTAAGGCTGGTCCTGTAACGCCCCTCGTGTGTGCCGGAGAGCCAGTGCAAGGAGGTGAGAGAGGAGACAACAGCATGGGAATTGCATGCTTCCAGCCCTGCTCCAAAACAATCTCAACACCACTTTTTATCGAATATTGAGTGTCAGTATGAGAACGGACATGAACGCATGTGAAAAATTTTTAAATGCTATGCAAATACACGATGGTGTTAGATGGGCCTCCAGACCATTAATTCCATCATTTACTCATTCAACATTTATTTATTGGAATATACTATGATCCAGCCACTTCTGTACAGGAAACAGCCTTCTTTCAAGGCTCCCTTCTAAAACCTGGGAATTTTTTCTGGTGGACAGATACAGGTTTATTTTGCCCCTACGTGCATTTCATAGAAATAATCTCTAATGTAAGAACAACATTAGGATTTTCAATTATACCTAGTGGCGTTATCATTGTGTCATGATATTTCACTATTAAAAAAAAAAAAAACCCAACCTCAAACCTTCACTTATCAGAATAAAAACTGACAGTGAAACACAGTGTTTTAGAGCCCAGACTTGAGAGTCAGGCTGCTCTGGCCATTCTACCATTTAGCCAGCTCTGTGACTGTCTTTGGGCAATAATCAATAGTGATTAACTCACAATGAGATCATTCCTGTAGAAGTACTAACAGAGAAAAGCCACAAGGAGCAAGTGAAGCCTCGCACAGAGCTTGCCATCATTAGCCCCTCACTCCTAGCACCTAATTATACTTCTTTGAATATAATTGAGACCGTAATCTTTGAACTTACTCTCTGACTTTTATTGGGTTGAGGAAGAGAAGAGAGTTCTTGGAATCACTAGCCAAACCCATTCTTTTCCCGGCTCGAAGCAGAAGCAGAAAGTTGGTTGAAGGGACGATGTATCCAACACAATTCCATCCCTTTGATTAACCAGAACTGTCACCCACAGGGCACCTATTGATTCTGCCACACCCGTTGTGGGCTAACACTATTCTTGCTCAACTGGCTGGTTTTATCCATTGTCTTCATGGCTTTTGGCCAAGGACTAAAGGATTAGGCTGAGGCTTTGGGGTGCAGCCTTCTCTGCAGTCACCTGCTTCGGGGAAGCATAGGACCATGGTCTTGGTCTAGGGCAGCTGGACCACTCTAGACCAAGCATGGTTTGTCCACTGATGCCCCGGGATCAGTGAAGGCCACTTTCTAGGGAAGGCTGAGTCTTGTCTTGTGCCAACCTCATCTCTCTGGAGGGAAGCTCACAGACTTCTGGGCACCAAGTTCCCAGGTAGAAAATGTTTACCCATGAAAGCCAAGTGACAGGGAAGGAGGAGGGCACCTCAGGGGGCTGCTCTCTACTCACCGTCGGGAGAGAACTGGTCCCTCTCAAACACGGTGATGCAGAGGACCTCCTGCTCCAAGTCTTTGATGAAGAACTGGCAGTTGGAATTCCACTTAGGATTCAGAGTGTCCTGGATCGTCTTGGTGATGTGACACTGGGAGCCCATGGTCACCTCGCAGTACGGGTTACTCTTTCCTAGAGTGAATAGAGCCTGCTCGACTCCCAGGCATGGCGTGGCAGGGCCACAGCCACAGTGGGCAGCACTTGCCCTCTGAACCCCTCATTTTTGCCCCCCTCCATTGCCACGCTTATTAAGTGGCATAAAATGGAGAATCTGGGTGAAAACTCCCACAATTTAGCATCATACTTAAACTAAGAACAAATAATTAGATGAATGGGCTTCAAAACTAGGCCTTTCCTGTCTCCTCGCTTCATGTACCCTTAGATTACATCACATCTACTGTGAAATGGCAGCCACTCAGATCTCTCTGAAAAGCAAAATGGTGGAAAGGATTAGAATTTTTTTTTTTAATTCTAGGTTTTTAACAAGCGCTAGAAAAACCAATTCGGGAAGGAAATTTAGGCTTATGGAAATAGCACATTTTATTTAAAGCTGGGTGGGAGGGAAACAGAAAAAGCTTCCACCACTAATGCATGCTAGAGGGGGCTTCAAGGGTCCTTACCATGTGACCGACAGGGTTTCAGCTCAATGCCTTCAACGACATTCACCATCAACCTTCCAATACCTGTTGCCCTTTGGGAACGGACTATGATGGCAGGAAAAACAACACAAAATGTTTCTTTTTAACATTTGAAGCCTTTCCCACCCCTGTTTGCCTCATGATCCCTTTTAGGTTCCTGCCCCCACTCAAGAACAATTCTCCCCTCCTCTCTTTAACTCTTGCTTCCTTGCTCCTGGAATTTGCCCTCCATCCCTCATCCTGCACCCCACTTTCCCTCTTCCCCCACTTCCATCCCATCTCAGGCCTCTCTACCTCCAGGCCCATCTTCCAGCAATAAGGATTCTGGGCCCAACCACATGGCTCTCCGCCCCAGCTTTGCAGGAGACACGGTCCATGCTGCCGAGCAATGCATTACCCAGGTACGCCTTCTCCCGCTTCTTTTTCTCCGTCTCTATGTAGAGTTCAGAAGCAGCTTTGATCTTCTGCACCCAGGCCGTCCTTGGAAAGGAAAAGTCAGAAAAGTGCCAAAGAGAACTCAAGAAAAAGGCTTCAAGTCTCTTCGAAATCAGCTTCCAGAACTCTGCCTGTTTTATTCATTTGATTTTAACAAGAAAGACTTGGAAAGAAGGTTTTATGTTACACGATGCTCGTAATTATTCCTACCATTAATAAGAAAGGCATGAGTGACATTTTTATGGATGTTCCCAAGACCTGCATGGGTGGAAGAAAACCTATGACACATGTTGCCCTGGAGGAGATGTCAGCACACAACTTCTCTTCCTATCTTATTAAAAAGCATCAGGCAGTTGCCTAACCCAATAAGCCCAGAAGGATCCCTCCTACTAAACCATCCAAGGGAAGAACAAAACCATTTCCCAGATAAGGAAATGACCAAGCATGCACTGGGGAAGCAAGTTGCCATGACGTTTTCTCCTTCATTTTCCAGAAAACCATATGCATGATAACTTTGGCCAACTTTCTTGCTTGGCACAAACGCTCTTGGAATGTTGTTGGCCGCATGTCAAGTTCACCCTTCAGAAAATGATCTATTTCATTTGGCTCCAGGACTAGTCTTGAAGACACGATTGAAGCAAAACACCCACAGCTCTAGGATCCAGAATGTCTGTCCAGTGAGCCTGCTGAGAAGGGCGTCGAGTTTGGGTGGTCCTTTCATCCCCAAATCACTTTCCTACTGGTTTCTGCCACCTGGGAAACCCTGGGAAACCTGAGATGCCCCATTTATCTTAAAGAATGCTGAACATTTCTACCAAAAAAATTCTCAAGCAAAATTGGTTTCAATTCACTTTATTTTGAAAAATTCACGCCACGTGTCGGACTTCTACAAGGCTCTAGAAAAAAGTATTAAGCCCTCCTCCCCACCCCCTCCAGCCCAATGTTATAGCATCGCAACTCGAGGAATGTTTGGATCTGCTGATTAATTAAATGTCCCACATGTGTCCTGAACCTGGTGGAACCCGGGTGCCCAGTGCCAGGGAGGTGGCCGGTCTTACCTTTCGTTTATGCTTTCTGCTCGGAGGGTATAGACTCGGTCGATGTGGGAAATGTGGAAGATGGGTTCATCTCCAGAAGGGTCAGTGGGTAATTTTACTAGAACCTCATTTAGGAAAATAGGCTGAAAAATAATGCAGAGGTGTTATAAAACCAGACTGGGCGTCTGTGTCTTCCAGTAAACTATGAGTGTGTATGCGCTTATGTGCACAAGTTGCACTAAGCTAAATTGAGTGTGTGTGTGTGTGTGTATGCATGTTTTCCAGTAAACTAGACTGATGGTGAGGGTGTGTGTGTGTGTGCTTGTGTCTGTGTGCATATGTGTGTGTGTTCCAATAAACTATCTAGGAATAATGATTTTGTGTTAATATCAACTTTCATATATTGCAAATTATAAATATGGATATCCCCCCCCCATTTTGCAGTATTTTTTCAGTCCTTCAGAATAAGAACTGACTGGTCTGTTTCTCCCACGGCATATCCTAATCAGCGAACGTTCTCCATCAACTTCCCCTCCAAGCAATTCCCTCCAAACATTTTCATACAAGGTTGCTAGTAACAATCTACATAAGTTTATTATTCTTTTTCCCAAAACAAAGCTAACTACCGCTTCAGAGACAATTCTCCCATAAGAACACCCCCACAGAGACAAATTTAGAAAAATAATATCCCGTGACACAAAGACACACAAACACAGCCATGTACATAGGAGCAGACCAAATAAACAGCTTAGGGAAATTCTCTACATGTTGACTATTTAGATTGGCTTTTGCTGGAAATGGTGAGGGACACGGATGTTTCAGGCTATCTTGAGGAGTTTGGAGGGGGATCTGGGAAGGTTGGGAAGGCGGGTGCTTGAGCCCTAGTCTGGAACTTTCCCACGCCTGCCTTATCTGCACACCAGAGTGTGAGCTGCACCAGGGCAGGGCGTGCCTCCGTCATATCTGGGGGACCACAGCAGCCATTTGACAACTAATAGATGTTTCCTCAATCAAATTGAGCGTCATTCCTTTTCTGATACTTCTGGAACTGCGGTGGGACAGACTGTCCTCTGCTTTCGTTACCCTAATACTGGCTCGCCCCCTTCGCCTTCTCCTTTATGCCACAGTCCCAAAGTGCTGCCAAAACTCTGGCTCCTTTTGGAAACTTTCTCCTCCCCCAAACACCAACCTTGATGTTGCCATCTAGAGTCAAACTTACTGTTTTGTACATTTTATACTGCAGGTTCGATTTGGGGCTGAAGACTTTGTCGGTGCCAGAAGAGCCCAAGGGTTTTATGATTTGGGTCAGCAGGAGGAAGTCGTTGAAGAGGAAGCCGTACAGCTCCTTGTTGCTCTTGGCCTTGTAGAGCTTCCCACTGTGCAGGAACTTGCGTGGCCCCAAGCAGTTGGTCACGGAATTGAACACAAGTTGCTGAGAAAGGAAAACAAAACCCAAAGAAGACACGATGAAGTGAGGTCATTTTTTGATTTCTGTTTTTCTGCATCTGAAAGCATGGGCTCCATCAAAGTCTGAGACCAGGCCCCAGCGGGCCCATATCTGAGACATAAATCACAGACTGCTTTGAAGACTTCAGGCCTTGGCTGAAGCCTTTGGGAGCCAAGAAGTCAAAGTCAGGCAAAGGCATGGTTCTGGGGATTTCCACTGTCAAGATGAGTCTTGGTTATGATTCCTAACGCTTTCTCCCTAGGGGTTTGCTGGTGTCTTAGGGTGATTGGTGCTCTTCTCTCTTTTACTTATTGGGGAAACTGGGCAGCAGGAAGAAAATACTCAGCCCTCAACTATCTCAATGAGTATATTCTGTGTGCAGTGGTGTGAACCAGCTCCAGTGATGGCCCCACACAGGCTCACACAGTTCTTCATGCTTCTGGAAAGCAACAGTGACTCTCTGTGTACAATTCCACAGGACAAATGCTACTTTCCAAGGTGCAGCTGGAGGCCAGAACCCCTAGTATGTGGGTGATTGCAAAACTCAGTGGTCCTGAACGATGCCTCAAAGCCAAGCAGAAGAGACACTGTGTTGGTGCACATTAAATCTCACCCAACTCACTGATCCTGAAAATGTGGGGAGGACAGCTCTCTTCCTGCCACTTCCCAAACCTTGGAGATGGCTCTGAGTGCTGAAATGTGGCTCTATCATCCCTCCTGGGCTCTACCATCTTGTGCTCTATCATCCCCCGCCCCCAACCCGGCTCTATCATCTCATGCTCTATCATCCCCCAGGATCTATCATCTATGTGAGCAGGGTCTAAAGGAGCAGAGGGAGACTGAGGCAGAAACGACTCTACTATGGCCCCCTTTTTTGATAGCAGGGGGAGAGACTGAGGGAGGGGAAGGCTACAGCTGTGCTCAGGCAGGGATACAATCCAGGCAGGCGTCAGACCTTCACAGCTCCCACCTGCCCACACTTGAGCCCCAGGGGTATGCTCCATCCAGCAGCCTTCAAGGCCAAGACTCTTTCCAGAGCTACAAACCCTACAGACCTCCCTAAGGAGAGTATTTGTGAAGAGGTGACGGGGTTCACAGCACCCTGAGAAATGCTGGTAGCCACCTGTCTCCCTCCAATATGTGAGAAAGAATCAGTGGTGCTTCTGTGACTGGAACCTATGGGTGTCTGGGAAGAGTAGCCACTCCACTCCACTCTTGAGTACAAGGAGGGAGGAGGGCCCCTCACCCCCCACCGAGCCTCTGAGGGAGCCCAAAAGACTGAAGGTCACACCCCAACGGAAGCCTTCAAAGGATATTCTTCACCCCTTGGCACTCTGAACAGGAGCCTGGAGATCAACCTAGCTCATTTTACTTGCCAAGAGAGAGTTCAAGACACTTGGTGACAATGAATCCAGAGACAGCAACTTGCATGACATAAAAGTGAAGTGGTTCATTCATACTCAAAGGCTAGGGCCTCCAACTGGCCAGGCTAACACTGAATTTATACGAATTGGAAAGAGTCTTTACATTTCTCTATCTTAAGACAAGAATGCCACAGATAGCATCTATCTGAAACTTAATCACTGGTGTGTGTCCAGATCTGGGCCAGAAACAGAAGTCAACATGCCCCCTTTCCATGATCGTGAACACTGAGCAGATAAAAATGAAAGCTGGTGGACAATAGCGAGGAAAGACCCAACACTAAAGAAGGACACAGTCTATTTCAAAGAAGGTCTATAAGCCACAAAAAGCAAATGACGAGAGTTTATTTTATTCTTAATGTTTTAAGATGAAGAGCCAGGCCTGACTGCAGCCATGAGACTCAGGCTAGGGCCCCTTTCTAAAGTGTGTGTTGCCACCTTGGCATTTCTACCTGGAAGATTCAGGAGCTATTCAGGTCCATTGTCTTCAGGGTCAAGCTAACACTCCTCTGAATGGTACAGGCCTTCTCCCCAACCCCGCCTGCCTTCAGCTTGCCTTAAAACCTTATTGCCTATCGCCCTACATCCCTCACCCATGCCCTGCTCAGGCCGTGCCCTCCACCGAAGTCCGCTCCCCTTGGATTCTTTCCTGGAGAGATATCTTCGTCCTTCAACACCCTGCCAAGTGTCACCTTCTCCAACTCTTCCAGGAATGCCTCCTCGACTGTCCCTTCCTTCCCATCGCGTGTTCCCACAGCACTTGGCACCTAGTTCTCCCTCATCATTCCTCACATTTTGTTGTAAACATTGGTTTAGCCCCACCACTTTGTCCAGGACTTATAGGCTCCTTGAGAGGAGGGAGGTCACATCATATTGATTTTCATGTCCTCAGTGTTTAGTACTGAGCAGTAGCACATGGACAGATGCTCAATAAATGTTTATAGAATGAATAAGTGAATGAATGAATGAGTGAATAAGCCAACCAACCAATGAATGCCCCTGGATTGCACATCAACACAGAATTCCAAAATGGGAGCCCACATCCGTCACCTTGGTTTCCACAGGGCTGCTCTCACAACTCTGCTTATCCCACACTTATGCTGGAGGTGGACAGGGGAGGGGCAGGGAGGGACTGGTGGTGACTTCTTCAGGTGGTGACTGCCTTTGGAGCTTGTAAGAAGGAAGAAGCCACAGGGAGAGTGGATGAGGGAGACAAATTTTGCCTGGGTATTTTGGTAAACCCTAGTGAATGGTGTGTGTGCATGCATGTGTGTGTATGTGTGTGTACACGTGTGCACAGAGGCAAAGAGAGAGAGAAAAAAAAACAGGCAGAAAGAGTGAATGAGACTAAAGGAAAGATAAGTGACAAGAAGAGAATTAAACACTAGAAGAGGCTTCTGTTTCTGGCAGTATGGTGAAGTAGAGATCTGACTCACCCAATGAAAATTTTAAAAACTGAGTAAAATATAAAAATGCACTTTTTAAATGCAAGCAAGGTGGTAAAAATAAAAGTAAGAAATTTGCAGAGGCCAAAAACAGAATGAAAATGTGAACCCCAGAAGATAAATAACCCCAAAGCTGGCATTAGCTTTAAGAGTCTCTCTCGAATCTGGTGACCTTGAGCTTCCATTTTAACGGCTATGTGGGATGCAGGAGACAGGTGATATATCCAGGCCCCACGTGAGGTGAGGGATCTCACAGGAGATCACAAAAAGCTGGACCCCAGAGGGAGAATGACAAGTAAACTCAGCACAGAAGGAAGGAGCAAGAAAACTTGCTTGTTTTTGACCTTAGTGTAAGTGGAGGGGAAAAAAATGCCCGTGAGAACTAGTAATCACAAAGCAGCTCTCACACAAGTTTACAACCACAATTCACACAACTAATGTGATCCAAAAACCCCCCTAAATTTAATTTTGGATGATCCTGGAAGCAATCCTCTCAGGAGGAATGCAATTTCAGACCTCAAAGATCCCACAGATAAAGTTCCAAGGAACACTGAGCTCACAGTCAAAAATCACAATACATACAGAGAAACAGACAAGTGTGTGGAGAGCCGGCAGAAGCAACAGACAAAAGAGTGAGATCCATAAGTTTAGATATTGAAATTATCAGATTTGAAACATACAGGAATATATTTAAAATGTGTTAGGAAATAAATGAGAAGCATGGCCCCTTGTGCAAGGAACAAGACACAAGAAAGAAACCAGATCTGAGAACATAAATAGCACTGATAGAACTGGAAAGAAAATAATTGAAATAAAGAACTCAGTGAATGGGTTCAATAGCAGATTAGAAGCAGCTGAAGAGAGATTTAGCAAGCGGTGGGCTGGAAAGGGGAATGCTTCGTCATCTTTCTCGTCCTCCTTCAGGCTGGCTGCCGAGGCTCAGCCGGCGGAGGCCCGGGTCCCACCCCTAGGCAGCTACCTCAGACAGGCCTTCACACTGCACGTGGGCTTGGATCCACTCTAGCCGGTCCGAGTTCTCCTTCTCCCGCACCCCCTCGTTCACCTGGGAACACAGCTCTTCCGCTTTCTCCAGGGCGTGCTTCAAGTGGCTGTGGTCGGGGTGGTTTTCAGGAGTGTTTTCCAAGATCTACACAGGAGAACAGAAGACAACAACCTTAGGCAGTGTGGGTCGGCCTGGGGTTGGCCATCCTGGAGGGCCAGGCCCAGCAAAGTCAGGGCACAGCACAGACCTTCCCTGAACACAACCACACAAGCAACTGCAGAGCTGTGCACCCACTGCTCGGGTGGGCGACATGACATGGAGCGTGACAGCCACTCCTTGTTGGCGGGGTCCCCTTGGTGGGCAGGAGATGCCACATTATTTATACTTGGGATATGAGGAGGGCAGTGGCTGCAGCAAGGACAATAATGCACCCACATGGATTACTCCCTAGAGAACGGCTCTCTCCTGGGTCCACACACACACAGGTGCACGTCTGTGCACCTCTGGAACTGCATGCAACCAGGTGCATCTGAGCAAATGTGCATTTTTCTGGATAGACCATTCCAAGCCCACAGTTAAGAGTGCCAGTTCTGGGGCTAGACCTCCTGGGTTAAAATCCCTGCTCTGCCATTGACCAGCCATGATATGTGCCAGCTACATAAATGTTCTGAGCCTCAGTTTCCTCATATGAAAAATGCGGATGCTAATAGCACCTCCTTTAGAGGTTGTTTGGAGGACTCAATGACTTGATACAAGTGAAGCAGTTTGCAAAGTTCCTGGCCCTTAGAAGGTGCTCAATCACTGAGAGCAATTACCATTAGATTCTCAAAGGACTTTGAGGGACTAAAAGCAGTCATCATGAAGAAAGACCCTAAGAACAAAGGAAGGCCCTAAGCCACCTTTGGAATGTGCCAGGAGTTTGTTGAGGGTGTACTTTCCCAGTCCTTGTCCACATACAAATAATTCAAATGGGTCTTACCCTGAATATTATCTCATTTCAAAGGTATACTTTAGTTTAAAAGTCCTAAGTAGCCACTCAAATTCAGAAAAACATACATTCTGCATCCTGTGACTCCATCAATCATTTCCAAGCAACAACCCCTACCTCTGGGCCAGTCCTGGCTGTATGCTGAATTCCCTTGAAAACTCCTGATGCCTCAATCCTGACCATATCGGAAGCCCTGGGGGTGGGACCCAGGCATAGGAATTTTCTAGAACTCTCCAGGTGATTCTAACATGCAGCCAAGTCTGAGGAGCACTGTTCTATACTGGAAGCCTACACAGCTGAATTGTGTGAATTCATTGGTTTTGTTTTTCTTCACAATAAAAATAGGTTTATTGACTTGTCTAACTGTAACAGTAATATTGTACAATGTACAAAATTTAGAAAAGTCAGAAAGTTGTAAGGTGGGGCCAGTCGAGTGATGTAGTGGTTAAGTTCACGTGCTCTGCTACAGTGGCCCAGGGTTCACAGGTTTGGATCCTGGATGCGGACCCATGCACTGCTTATCAAGCCGTGCTGTGGTGGCCTCCTATATACAAAATAGAGGAAGATAGACACAGACGTTAGCTCAGGGCCCATCTTCCTCACCAAAAGAAAAAAAAAAAACAAAGTTACAAGGAACCTAAAAATCACCCATAATCTCCCCATCTGGAGATAACCTCTAAATACATATTCATTAATATATTCTGCCTAGATACATCTATACATAATTTGTGTGTGTGTGTGTGTGTGAGGAAGATTAGCCCTGAGCTAATATCTGTTGCCAATCCTCCTCTTTTTGCGGAGGAAGACTGGCCCTGGGCTAACATCCGAGCCCATCTTCCTCCACTTTATATGGGACGCCGCCACAGCACGGCTTGACAAGCAGTGCGTGGGTCTGCGCCCGGGATCCAAACCCGCAAACCCCAGGCCATGGAAGCAGAGTGCGTGCGCTTAACCACATCACTGGGCTAGCCTCCTTATATACATAATTTTTTAAAATAAAAATTGGATCATGCTACCATACTACACTGTACCACTCTGTACACTTCTTTTTTCCCACTTCATAGTGGTTATGGCATATCATTGACTGTCCATTTCATATGGATCTATACTATCATTTTTAAGGATTCTATGTCATTGTAAGGATGAACTGCAATGCTCTTAAACAGTCCTCTTCCCATAAAACTTCATGTTGCTTCCAATTTTTCAATATTTGTCTTATTATTGCTTTAGAATAAACTCCTACAGGGGGAAGAGCTGAGCCAAAGGGAAGTTTGATCCACACAAAGCCCTCCAAAGAGCTGAACCAGTTTATCTTCCACTGCCATCCTTGCCAACGCTGGGGACCTACGATCTTTTCAATATACGCCTATCTGCCAAGCCCAAACCAAGATATTTTCTTGTTTTGTTATGCATTTATTTTATTACCAGTGAATTTGAACTTATTGTACATTTAGTATGTAAATGTACTAAATGATAAAGTTAATATTTATATACTGCTTAGTGTGAGCCAAATACTTTACATACATTAACTCAGTTAATTCTCACAACACAATGCGGTAAGGTACTATTAGTGTCCCTATTTTACAGATAAGGAAACTGAGGCCCAGAGAGGTTAAGGAACTTGCCCAAAGGCACACAGCAGTGGTAGCAAGATTCAAACCCAGGCAGCCTGGCTCCTGACTATGTGTTCTTTATTGCCACTCTACACTCCTCTCAGAAATGTCTAGTATGTATTTTACCTATTTTTCTATTAAGGTATTTATCTTTTTTTTTTGGTGAGGAAGATTATCCCTGAACTAACATCCGATGCCAATCCTCCTCTTTTTGCTGAGGAAGATTGGCCCTGGGCTAACATTCGTGCCCTTCTTCCTCTACTTTATATGTGGGACACCTGCCACAGCATGGGTTGGTAAGCGGTTTGTTGGTCTGCACCCGGGATCTGAACCTGTGAACCCCAGGCCGCCGAAGTGGAGTGTGCGAACTTAACCACTACACCACCGGGCTGGCCCCATCTTTTCTTTTTTTTTTTGGTTGTAAGAGTGCTTTAGATAGATAGATAGAGAGAGAGAGAGAGAGAGAGAGAGAGAGATATCTATGTATAGTTCGGTACCTATTTTACACAGTTAAAAATATGTTTACCCAGTTTATATCTCTCATGTCTTTCCAAGTTGTTCATTATATTTTGTTACACAGAAATTTTTAAGAAAAATGTACAAATAATATATTGACACATTCTTGATGTGCAAGATTCAAACAATGTAGAAGTATATAGAGCAAATGTGAAAGCTCCCCCTCACTCTCCCACCCCAGAGGTAACCATGCCAACAGACAGAAGGGCATCCTTCAGTTCTCTTTAGATCCGCTGCATAGGGTTTTCCTTCTGTTGTGCAAAATGGACCATACTGTAGGATTGCTCATGAAAGGTTTTATTGTTTTTTTTTGACTTACTAGCATTTTCTGGATGTCTTTCCATGCTAATACATAGAAGTCTCTGTCGATCTTTTAAAATATTTTCATAGTACAGATCTACCACAATTTATTTAACTACTCTCCTTAATGAACACCTAAGTTGTTCCCAGAATAAAAGATTTCTTTTTAAGTTGTTACGACTCTAAATCCTTTAAGGTCCTGTCTTTGGTGCCATGCTAAGAATTTCTCCACCTCAGTATTATAAAAAAAATATTTAGTCTTAGCACTTTTACAGTTTTCCATATGTATCTTATAACTGGTCACCTTTTAAAATTCTCTTTTTAGTGCTGCTAGTTTTCAGTTTGTTCTCTTGAGTTCTCTAAAGGGCAGCAATCATGTTTCTGCAATAATGAGAATTTGTTTTTTTCTTTTTAATATTTATGCCTATCAGTGCTTTTCTTGTTTTTCTCCCTATTGGCTAGATTTAGAACATCTATTTTAAAAGCTTGTTTCCAACTTCAATTTGCAATTAAATATTGGGGGAAGCAAAGAAAAAGTGTTGAGCTGGTTAAATAGCACCCACCAAGTTGGAAGAGAGGACACAGTAGATTGAAAGCTTCTTTCAAAACTAATTCTTTAACTCAGCCAAAGTGGTCACCGTGTATTCTGTGGGGTCCAGCTGGGGTTGGACCGAGGAGATGGCTTACATGGGAGGGAGATTTATTACTTATAAGGAGATTGAGCAAATAAGTAACCATACTGAGGATAATGAGAGCCAAGCTTCTCCTAGAGAAGAGAGTTATAAATATAGAAAGAGGGAAGATAGATTAGAACGAGAGGTATCGATGTGAACTCATGGTTTTAACATACATTATAATATACATAGATGGATTGCTCTAGATATAAATATAAATACATGTGAGTACACTTAAGTATATGTAAATTTGTGCATATAAATATATATACATATATTTCCTGACCCTGCCACGGAGAGACCCAAAAGGGAATAACACCCCAGTAGCAATGAGCACACCTGTGCCCAGATGTGGGTTTCTAAAGTCTCCATTAGGGCCGGCCCTGTGGCTTGGTGGTTAAGTGCGCGCGCTGCGATGCTGGCGGCCCG